AATAATTATACAAGGTAGTGTTTCACGCTTAATAAGGCGAAAGAAAATCTTGAGGCTCGCATAGGCTTCTGAAGACGTTGATGTGATCGGCTTAAAGGCAGCGCCCGCCTTCAATCAGATGAGTTATGGGGCTCAGACAGTGACAACAAGGTAGCAAGTAGTTCATTAGTGAAGAAAAATGCAAAAAATCATCGGACTGCTTATATAGGATCCCACGCCGAGCTGAGGCCGTACGTGCTTGAGGGCAGCGCCCGCGTTCATTTGATGTTCCTACGCCCTCCTTAGATATCGTAGCTTTGTCGACAAGGGTGGAGGATGTACTAATTTCGCAGCTCAAAAATACGAGAGGATGGCGCCACCCGCTTGTGAAGAGGATGCCGCCCCGCCCACCTGGCTGCCATAACTGCTTTGGCTTAGCCTTTAAAGGCTGAGCCCGCTTTCAAGAATAATGAGTTATGGAGCTCATATAATACGTGATCCAGTAGTGAAGAAAAAAGCAGAAAAAAAATCATGGAAAATGCCCTATAGAACCCTATGCTGGCCAGGTGGGCGGGGCGGCCGACTCTTCACTAGCGAACGGCGCTATCCTCCCGCCTTTTTGAGGTGAAAACCAGTACATACTGCATCCTCAGAGGGCTGTGATTCCACAGAGGGCGCGGGAACATCAAATGAACGTGGGAGCTGCCTTAAGGCGAAGAGAAGGCGCGGTCGCACGAGCTCTTACTTGTTGGTATCAGCTGTTTTCCCTTATCACCTCACTCTCACCATTCGAAGTGGAGAGAGTTAGTAGCAGAACAACCGCACCATCAGGCAACCATTAGAAATGAAGTTGGGCGTAGTGGTCGCCAGGTGGGCGGGGTATCTTCACGAGCGGGCGCCGCTATTCTCTCTCATTTTTGAGTTGCGAAAATGTCCACCATCCTCTCAGGGCGCCTATAACAAAGTTCCACCTCAAAACCCTCGCTGGCACAGAAGAATATAATGAAATTCACGATAATGCCGAAGGTAATACGAAGACAGAGCTGTAGAGAGCCGCTACTTCCAGTATGAACCGCGATTTTCATGAAGCTCTTCCAGCTCTTTAGTGCACGTTAAACGTCAGCGGCCTGAGAACGGCCATTGTTCGCTTGCAAACATTGAACGGGATGCGATCTTAGCCTCTTGTTGTCAGAAATTGCAAAACCTCAGCGGCTAATTGCTCGCGAGGTTTTTACACCTCCAAAAAAACTTCTACACCCCCGTCCACGTTTCAGGACATTGTGGCAAGTAATGTGTTTCTTTGCTGCTTTCAGGAACGGTAACTAACCTGTGGATTAGCATGAATCATAGCAGGTGTGATCATTATCGAGCAACCCTTTGGTATTACTACTCCTTCTGCAATGATATTAAGTGATACAACATAATAACAATATACCAATCAAAAAATTCTCATAAATATTACCGAGATCTATGTCTTGCTCAAGCTTTCGTGTAAAGTTTGGTACTGGCGGGCGAAGTCATGAAAAAATTATTTTTTTTTGTTTTTTCCTTCATATCTGTATCGAGAATACATCAAACATCCCCCTAGCGACTGTAGGTTTACCAGTGAACGCCACTTTGCACAAATATGCATTTACGGGTTTGTCGTTAATTACAAGTCCAATGCCGGAAGGGAAAAAATTTAAATGAATAGTTTGCAATTAACAAAATGTGGGAAAACGGGCCCAATACAACGGTCCCCCCCCCGTAATAGGGCATCATTGTAGGTAAAGGCACGGTCCGCGATCAGGTATAGAAGCTCAAAATATGGCATCGGGAAGGTAGCGTGGCCTGCGGCGCGAAGCCCCAACCTTGTACCGGTTTCGTTGCAAAAAAATTGTAAGGGAGGGGCGCTATAGTGTAATATGGGTTCAGTGACGCCTCCTTTCCTGCCAGTGACTCCGCCTCCACAATCCACCTTCAAGACCCGCCTTTCAAATAAGAATGAAGCTGCAGAAAAAAGCATGAAAACCGTCACTTGTACACTCATACGGTTCTTATCGGTGAATCAGGTGTGCGGATGAGGGCGTAGTGAATGGAGTTCACTGGGAGCGTACAAACCGGGATCGTAATGGGGCTCTATCTAGGCAAGTGGCATGTTTTTCTCTGCTTTCTTTCTTCACTATCGAGTTGCTCAGCACCTTGCCGTCTATATGCGAACCCCTAATCCACCATCGGGGTATAGCAATGGGGATGTGCGAAATGTCGGTGTGAGTACTACTCCCCCCCGTCAGGCACGACCCACCCCCCCTCCACGGCTTTTTCGCCGACGACGAGCAATGAGTATATGGTCGTAAATGCCTATAGTGCATATAAAAAATTAATACGACCCCCCCTTTCCACACAAGAAAAAATCAACTATCAAAATAAATTTGTCTTCCAAATACGACCCCCCCCCTCCCAGAGCAAAAGTACGACCCCCATGGGTTTGACACAACGTGTTGTACCCTGTCCACCATCTATGACGACGTATCGTTAGTTTTGCCTTTAACTTAGCGTTACCTATCACCTGTCATTAATTACCCTATGTCTCTCATTATCCATTTGCTATCGACTACCCGTTGGAAAATGCTAACCTGAACTGGAGGGGTAGGTGGAACAGGGACTTTGCCTTGCTCTAATGACGCAGTAATCCAGAAGAAAAAATTATTTCTTTTAAAAAATAAATCTGATAATTCCAGGTGATCAACGAAAGAAATAGCAGACGTGGTGTCGACAAGGCGCAGGATGATGGGAGAAAGAAAGCATTCCTTGATTTGTTGCTTGAGGTGCAGGCTGAAGGAAACCTCTCCTACGAGGATATCCGTGAAGAGGTCGATACTTTCATGTTTGAAGGTAAGCCCCACCGGTGAGTGGCGACCTCTTCGAACTGTTCAGTCCTCTTTTCCAGGGCATGACACTACTGCCTCTAGTATGGGTTGGACACTGTGGTGTGTATCTTGTCATCCAGATATTCAGAAGAAGATTCACGATGAAATGGATGATATCTTCGGTGAGTTCCAGTGTACGTTATATTTTTAAGTGAATAAAATTTATCATAGTCATGAGTCGATTTACAGGCTCGTCAGATCGTAGTTGTACAAACGAAGACCTAAAGTCAATGAGATATCTTGAACAATGCATCAAAGAATCTCTGAA